CATTACTAACTATTAACTAAAATAGGTAAAACATGGTTTCAAAACATGCATAACTATAAGGTAAATACAAAACATGCACAACTATAACAGAGATAAACAAGGTGTTACATCAAACAATGCACTCATGAGGTAAATACAAATACATAGTTTGAGGTTCAATCTTCCAGTTCGGTTTTCTTCAGCAACAGGACCAGGTCGGTGATTGGCCTGGTCTAAGAGTCTTTGAGTCACGATCTGACTCATGTGGCTTCATGATCTGGGCCTCAACTTGGCGAACTAGTCCATGAAAACTGGGTGGGGTCCGATGCACAAGTCCCATGGGCCAAGAGTTCTGGTATGCGTCCTTGTCTCTCAGCAAGACAAGATCTTCTTCCTGTAGGAAAAACTGGAACCCAAAAATTCTCAGGAACAAAGGAACCTGGATCCACAGGATGCTCAGGAACAGAAGAAGCTGGAACCACATGAAACTCAGGAACAGCAGGAGCTGGAACCACAGGAAACTCAGGAACAGGAGGAGCTGGAATCACAGGAAACTCAGGAACAGCAGGAGCTGGAACCACAGGAAACTCAGGAATAGCAGAAGCTGGAAACTCAGGAACAGCAGGAGCTGGAGCCTCAAGAACAGCAGGAGCTGGAGCCTCAGGAACAGCACTGGAACCACCGGATACTCAGGAACAGCAGGAGCTGGAGCCTCAGGAACAGCAGGAGCTGGAACCACTGGTGGAATGTTGATGATGGCTGCTACTGTTGTCATGAGGGTAGTGAGGACCTCATGTGTGGGCGTGGGTGTCTTTGATGACATAGAGTCCATAATTTTGCAGGGTATGCCAATCATGCACTCCCACGCTTCGCCCATGCCTTCAGACATTTGTCAATCACTGGATCATGACAAATACTTTCAATAGTCTGTAAGACCTTGTAGACTCCTACAAAACTGGTTCTTGGGATGCTAAGATAAGTGATCAGGATGGTCAATACTATGCCCAATCTCAGGTGTCTCCACTTAGAGGAGCATTCAAAGTGGGCTGGTTTTAGGAATTGGGTAAAAGGTGGTTTTTCTGTCTCTTTGCTCATTGAGGGCAAGCAGATGATCTGGACGATTGTTTTCTTGTCCTGTCTGAGAAATTTACTGGGTGTCTGAGGTTGAACATTGGCATGTTGATCTGAAACTAGAAGCATATAGCGTTTTGGTCTCCATGGCATCAGGCTGTCTGAACAAGCCAAGAACTCAGGACCTTTTAGCCAGATCAATTCTGTCAACTGTGTCGCAAGGGTGGGCCACGTAGCTTGGTCCACAAGGTTCTTATCTGTTGGCACATGGTGCCATTGTTCAGGGCTTAAAGATGTTTCAATCTTTTCTACTCTATTGCCTACATAAACGTAGAAGTGTCTGCTTTGGTTGCAGATGTAGCTTGACATCACCTTGCTGTCTGGGGAGAAGGTGTAGACTGTAGCTCAAGGCCATTTTCGTTCTCAGATTGGTGAGTTTTACGGCCAATATGGTACCACAGAGTTCTAACCTTGGTATGGTGTGGCCTTGTTCCATTGTTAGTTTTGCCTTTTCCATGACGAAATCGACACTGCAGCTCTCCCCGCTGTAGACTCTGATGTATCTTATGGTTGCAATCACCTTCGTTGACACATCTGGGAAAGCGTACAATTCTTTCTTTTGTACGGTGGCGGGTGAGCTGGAGACATACGTGCGTTGCACTTGTATGCTTTGGAGACAATTTAGGAGTGTACTCCATGACTCCCAGTCTTGTTTCTGTTCTGGCAGATGAGGCCTGTCCCAATGTGCAGTGCTTTGGGAGAACACGCGTAGCTGCAGAGATTGCTTGTCCACTTTGGACAAGGCTGAGTCATTGTGACTTTCACTGGTCTGGAACACTGTTGCTTCCAAAACGGATTTGGTTGTTCTTGGCATGGTTTTAGGTGAGGTGTTCTTCCATTACTGAGAAGAGGTTGTTGAGATATTCACCTGGGTTGAAGTTTGCAGTTGGTCAACACAGATNGTTCCTGGGATGACCCATTCAGGTTCCATCTTAAAGGCAGTTGAGGAGCTTGTTGGGCCTCTGACCATTCCGTGGTAGGCAAAGGTGACAGGGGCGTCTACTCTCAACGGAGCCAAAATTTTGGCTTCAGGAGTTAGGAACAGTAAGACAATTGGGGGGAACTGGTCGACACAGAACATTCCTGGATGACCAATCCAGAATTTAGGAACCGTAAGCTCCCATTTAAGCTTTCCTCCCCACTGTGCTCTGTGGCACAGAGCACATTTCTTTGCTTGGGGAATGGTGGGTCTGTACACACTAATGTGCAGTTGAACTTGGCAGGCGCTTCTGGGCGCTCTTTGGAGCCATATTGGGGCTCCTTGGTTGAAGGAGGAGTAGAAGCTGCTTGTTGTAGCTGTCCATCCTACGAAAGCTTCTTCCATATCCACTTCTAATAAGAACATACGTTTGGGGGAGACTCCTCCTTAGGCACTTAGTAGAGTTCCTGTAATTTCTGCCAGCGTCTTTCATGGTAAGTGCGGTTGATGTCCCATTTCCACAACAGGTTCGACCGCATGGCTTCAGTAGGCTTTCTTTGTTGCCTCAGGTTATAGGGTACCTGGGGTGGCTTTGGCTTCAGTGGAGCTTGAACATTAGCTTCTATGTACAAGTCAAGGTTAGCTGGTTGCAGCATTTCTGCTTGGCTGGCTGGTTGGAGTGGCTCATCCAGGCCGGTTGGTTGAACTCCTTCTTCCAAATCAATGAGATATTTCTCCATGGTTGGGACAGGCTTAGAAAGCGTCCTAGCTATTTTGAAGAGGATACAATGAACTTTGCTCTTTGACCACTAGGGGTCACTCTATCTGGGTGGGCACTTCAGGGAAATTCCCTCTTTGGCCACCAGGGTACACCATATGGGTGCTTCAGCGAAATTCACCCTTTGACCTCTAGGGGTCACTGCTTGCAGGTCAGCCACCAGGGTGCTCTTCCTCGATGTTCACCCTTTGTCCACTAGAGGGCTCTCTCTGTGCGTAATTTAAGGCTCATGTGAAGCTCCTTCTTTAACCACTAGGGGGCACTTGAAGAAAGGCCAGCTAAATTCTGTCTTCTTAGAACCACGTTGCACGTTAGTGGCCACCTCAGATTACTGAGCTCCTACTAGTTCCCGTAAATTTCTACCTGGTCGTTACGTTCAAGCTGTTGACCACCTGGAGATTACTGAGCTCTGACTAGCTCCCATAAATATCCACCTGGTCATTACGGCTTTGTGATAAAAAGCAAGGTTAATTTGCTGCCTTTTTTCTTCTTAATTTTCCCTCAGCAAACACACCACTAGGGGTGACTGCTTGCGTGAGTGATTACTTCGTGTGAAGTTCACTCTGTGCCCACTAGGGGATGCTGGTTACTTTGGATGAATTCAGGGAACTTTGCTCTTTGACTGTCAGAGATACATTCTGCTTAGTTAGAAATTTCAGTGAAGTTCCTTCTTTCACCTCCAGGGGTTGCTATTAGCTTGGGTTGGTGCTAGCCTGCTATTTGCAGATCAGCTACCAAGGTGGGGGGGTGCTGTTCTTCCAGCAGGGCTATTGCCTTGCAAATATAATTGGTTCTTTCCAGGTTGCCACTAGAGGGGATTACTGCATTGCCTATGTTTGAGAGGGGTTTGTCCTAAAACACATTCCTTTAATTCCAAGGAGGGGGAGGTGGAACTCAAAAGTGCACCAACCCTGCCAGATCAGATTGACTGGAATATACTATGGGAGAATAGGAACAACTCATGCTGGACTAGGTTTGTATGTATATGGAATATAATCACCATGTAGAAACTTGTAATAGTAAGTTACTTATCTCTTCTCAGAGCTGAGAAGTTTTATTTTATTTTTCTGCATGTAATAATCCCAACAGTTTGAATAGGCACATAATTTTTTCTGGAATATATATATATCTGTGAAAGTTATTTAATGGACTAGTACAGATGTAAGAAATATTCTTTAAGACTTTCCAAAAATGCATTTTAGAAGATTCAAAGCCAGTGTCGTGCCTCCATCTGAGCCTGAATCTGCGGAGGAAAATGAACTGGAATGGGACCCTATGGAGGCCGAGGGAGAGTTGTCTGTGGCTTCAGAGGAATGTGGGGAAGAGCAGGCTGAGGCAGGCCAGGGCCCTTCAGGATTGGAACAGGAGAAACAGGAGAGGCAGAGTTCAGGTGATGAGCAAGGGCCACTCCCACTTGATCCTAGACCACAGAGAGTGGAGAGAAGGAGGGAACAACGTAGGCAGGCTCAATTACTTGGGAGGTGTTCTCCACGAGGAGATTGAGATTTAAGGAGACGCTGTGGGGAGGGGCAGAGATTGAGATTTAAGGAGATTGAGATTTAAGGAGACACTGTGGGGAGGGGGATTTGTCAGAAACAAACGCTGATTCTTGGAGTGTTGTGTATTGTTGCTCATCACTTGTTCTGTGACTTCTGTTGGGAAACCTGGAAACTCGAACTATTGGATTGACTGAAAACTGCTCAGGAAAGTTAGGATTCAAACAGACTCGTTAAGTTTTAGTTTTCTTCCTTGTTATCTCTATGGCCTTGAGTACTTTCTTATGCTAACCAGATTGTATTTGAACCTACTTTCAGCCACAGTGGGCTGAAGGGGCGTGTGTGATTCTTTTGTTGGAGGCTTGCCAGCAAATGTGGGAGCATTTGGGGAAAATTTGGAGCAATTAAAGAACTGTTTGAATTGCCAGCTGACTGCATTGCCTCTGTGCTTTGCCCTGGATCATCACAGCCATGTTGATACTAAAACTAATTAAACATCTAAAGTCCTAATCATATATTCATTTACCCCAGGGGTAGTCAACCTTGGCTCTTTTATGACTCGTGGATTGATTTACCCATTGAACTCAATGGGACTTATTTCCAAATAGATACAAGATCCTATTTCAGACCTTTAGCACTAAACAAATTGTACATAAAATGCGAGAAATGGCTTCATATTATTAAAATGTGCATTCAATTATGTTTCTTTTTAGTGGCTATGATATTCCTCTGAATCCTTTACATTTGCTGCCCTTTTATGCTGGATCCCGCTTTCATGACTTCCATCATACGAACTTCAATGGCAATTACTCTTCAACTTTCACCTGGTGGGATAAACTCTTTGGTACTGATTCACAGTACAATTCTTACAAGGGGAAAATGAAGAAAGAGAAAGACACAGTGGAAAAGAAGATAGAATAAATTTCCCATTTGCAACACTCAATGGCGGGATCAAAGAGGCTTAAAACTAGAAAACGTAACAATTATTGCAATTCAAAACAAAACACAGCTATTAACAAACAAACCAAGCTTAGGTTTGCAGCAGGAAAAACATTCATTGATGCATTTTCCAAATGATTGTGCTTTTTCTATCCTATAGATAAATTAAACAAATACTGTACAGTATATATATTAAAAAAAGGTTAAATATGACCAAATGATTGAAATTATGTAAAAAAGATATACATTAAAATTAAAATGAGGGGTATTTTGCATTAATGTAAAGCCTAAAGTTTAGAAAGGACAGCTACACTGAGTTCACCAAGTAAAACCTTTGTGGAAATCCTCTTTCCCAATTAGGTATAAAAAAAAGTATATTTAAGAAAGCATCTTTCTTACAAAGAATCTTTTAACTTGGTTATTAATGAATGTTATTGTAATCTGTATTACACATAACTGTAAATTGCTGATTTGATTATTACAGTAAGATAATTTGTCTTATAGTAGCTGTGGTTGATTTTTTGTCATGTTTTCTATACAGCAAATAAAATAATATTGGAGTTCAAGCTATTATTCCCTGGTTCCTTTGCTTTTTTTGCTTCGTTACAGGCAAGCTGGACGAAATGGGGAGTGATAGAGAAAGTGAGAGTAGTTGCTGGAGCTGTTTGCTGGAAGCAGGCCAGGGAGAAGGAGAGGGAGGGACAAGAGATTGGGTGGGGTATAGCTGTATAATTTTGGGACAGTGAACAGTGTTTTTGTGCCAACATTTTCTACTTCTGATGTCCTCTCAAAAAACAATGCTTACTCTACTTTTTTTACTTGAATGTAATAAAAGCGATTAATAGTTTAAAACAGTATACATATGAAAAAGGCTGCTGGAAAAAGAAATCTAAATCAGAATATCTTGAATACAAAATGATTGGCTGGGGTAACTGCATTTCCTTGCAAGAGTTGCGCTATGGGTTAAACTACATGTTTATTTTTACAGAAGTCTTTCCCCCCAAGATGACAGGAGGCCACTGCAAGCCTCCTTATCTTGTCTTCCCCACCCCACCATACCTTTTAGGCTGTTTTCTTTAATTTATATAGTATTTTTATTTTGTTTCTATTTAGTCAAATAGATAGGAAAAGCAGCTCATTTTACTCCACTGAGATGAATCCTCTGAGCCACTACATCTTACAATCCTAAATCCAAAGCTGCCTATTTAAAAGAGAAACATGCAATACTTGTATTGAGGCATCAGATTAAAGACATTGATAACAGCACTTCCCCAGCAATCTGGATGTCTCCCACCCTGATGATGTTCTGAAAATCTGGGGAAACTTGATAATGCAGGAAGTGGGTGGTTGTTGAGCCCTGTTAGGTTTTTTCTTTGGTGCATTGTGTTTGTTTTTTCAGAGTGTGTGATCTTTATGTTATAATTCTTTACTTTTTAAAATGTAAGTTCCCAGAGCCATTTGGAATTGGGCACCCTTGAAATGAAATGAAATCATGGCTTCTATCGTCAACTCCAATGTTAGACCTAAGTCACAGTGAAGCCTGAGTCTTTGAAGGATTCAGGGCCAAGTTAAATAATCATAATCATGTATTGTGTCATATAAATGGGAAATGATGCAATACCTCCCACCTATTTTTTTCAGATACCCCTCTGGTATCTTACCTGTCAGGCAGAGTTGCAGTCCTTCCCTGAATCAGCTGGCCTTTCCCTTAGGTCAGTGATGGCGAACCTTTTAGAGACCGAGTGTCCAAACTGCAACCCAAAACCCACTTATGCATCGTCGAGTGCCGGGTGGGTGTGACCCATTGGCTGGGTGTGGTCCACTGGCTCAATTTCAACTTTGCAAGATCTTTTTTTTCTCGCAAGACGTTGAAATTGACTGATTGAACCCTTTTTTTTGCATACGGCGGCGGAGGCGTAAAGTGAAAAGGTTTTATAAAACCCAGCTGTAGGCCTAGGACTGGGGCGACGGCGTGCGTGCCCACAGAGAGGGCTCTGAGTGCCGCCTCTGGCACCCGTGCCATAGGTTCACCACCACTACCTTAGGTTGTCACTGTGTCCTGGCTTTCCGTCTTGGGATCTCCAATTTCTCTTTGTTCCAGCAGGGGTGATCCGACGTTTGGGGCTGGGAAAAAAACTTACCCAGATGCGCACTCCCCTCTTCAGATATCCCCGGCTGCCAATGATGGAATGGATGCAAATCCAGGAGGAGCCCCCAAGGCTGTTATGTGCTCCTGGCTACTTTCCTTCATGACCAGAGGCAAGCTCGCCTGACCAATAACCAGCCAAGACACAGTGAAGGCCTTTTGTTTTGTTTATTCCAATAAGCGGAAGAGAAGCTTTCAAAGCTTGGTTCTTTTCAAAGTTTTAACCCAAAATATTTCCTTTTTTTTATTCATCCCTATCACCGGCCGCTACATCCCTCCTCTTTCTCCATTGGCTGAGGTACTATGAGGTTACACTCTTTCCGTCCGCTTATACACATTTCCTGATAACATATTAAATCATATTCACATATACAGTAAGAATAAGAAAAATTAGACATTTAAATGGTTATTTTAAACTCTGTAGATATTTATGTCCCCATTTTAAAACAATAGGTTCTTTTCCTCCTTTTCAATTTAGTGTGCCTTTCCTCTTATCTTATTCAGCTCATTTTCCTATTCTCCAATTCAACCTGTCTTTCCTGGCTAGCCATTTCCTTTTACAGCTATTTTTTTTATAGGCTTCTCTTCTTCTTTTCTCAGACCCAGCTATTTTTGCCTATATGTTTATCTTACTTCCTTTATGTTATATTTTCCTGACTCCCACCAATTGTACTTATTCTTCTATTCAATTAGTTTCCATTGTATTGTAGGTTTAACTGACTCTGAAGATTTATCATATTGATGCATATTTATCACCAGTATGCAAGCCAGGCTATTACATTTTCTTAAATTGCACATAGTAAGCCCTAGGACTCCCAATCTGAGTCCATCAGTGCAAGATATTCAGGGCTTAGGTTTGGAGATCTCTTTTCTGCTACTTCCCTAGTCAGGGCATATGAATTGCAAATCACCTGAAGGGGCCTGGTTCCCCCCCCTGGAATTTGCAGGAAGTTGTTCCTACAAAGTTTTAATGACACAGGGCAAGAATCAGGCTGGAGCTTTACTGAAAGTAAATGAAAGAGAAGGCTCAGTGTGATTCTGAATGGTGTGTGTGCATGTGTGTGTGCAGCTGCTTCTACAAAACAGGCAATACAAACATTCTGGATACATTTTCTCTCCCACCAGACAGAAGTCCAAGGTGTTCAGTACTTGCTGTGGCAACTATTGCCAAATGCCATCACTCCATAAATACATTCAACTGGCTTATTACAAAACAAATGGGGCAAGAAAGAAAACTTTACAATGACTTCCCACCCTCCCCCATAGTCTTCCTAATTTTCTTCTGAGGCTTCATGTGGGGACCAATGGCTCCATGACTCCTTTCTTCTTCTGCAGCTTTCAGAGGCATCTGGGGGAATGGTAGGACTTGGGAAGATGTTCCACTCAGGTTGCATGGTGGCTTTTTAGTGGATGGCTGGATTCAAAACCCAATTCCATGGCTCAAATGGATGGAGGCAGTGTCTGGGTCAGTGTGCTCTGCTTCCAAAGGTTGGGGGGGGGTCATCTATACAGGGCTGAAAGACCTGAGAACAAGATCTCCTCCCCCCCCTTTCTGGGTGGACTCTCCCAAGAGAGAAAGACAAAAGGCATGGTGAACAGAGGATAAGAAAAAAGAGAAGTAGATGGGGGGGGGTAGCTTACAGGCAGAGTTTGAAAAGGCATTAATACTGCAGTGGTTAAAGAAACAGACAAAATGAGGAAATGACATATGAGGACAAAAGAAAGGCTGGATTTTGGTAAGAGAACATAAATGAAAGGTCTCATTTCTGAACTAAACATTTGTAACATGTTAAAGACTTAAGGACTTGCAACTTGAAAAAAAATGCTGGGCAGCTTGAGAATGCTGAAAGCTCCAAGTAATTTTAAAAGCCTAATATTTTAAGGTATGCAATAGTTGCCCACTGTCAGTATTATTATTTGTACTCTCTTTAGAAGTCTTAACAAGAATAATTCGAGAAGATAAACTGATTAAAGGTTTAGAAACTAGGAAAGAGATATTTAAATTACAGGCATATGCAGATGACTTAGTCTTTATTTTGGAAGAACCCTTAGAATCTGGCTCAAGACTATTACAGGTCCTGGAAAACGATGGAGATGTAGTGGGGTTGAAGATTAACAAAGAAAAAACTAAAATGTTAGTTAAGAATATGACCAAATTACAAGAAAATGAGCTAGCAGAAAAAATTAACATTCAAATAGCTAAAAAAGTAAGGTACTTGGGGATTCAACTGACAGCAAGATGCATCACACTTAAAAGAAAAAAATATGATAAACTAATAGATCAAATTACTGTGGATTTAGATAGATGGAAAAACCTACAGCTCTCCTTTATGGGGAGAACCGCAACAATTAAAATGAATGTGCTTCTTAAACTACCCTTTCTATTCCAATGCATAACGATTAAATTAGGCAATTAGGAATTAAATTTAAGTTATTCCAAGACGTAAAAGAAAGAGGAGGATTCGGCCTCCCAAATTGGGAAAAATAGTATCAGGTGGCAACATCTGCTTCATTAAAGGAATGGATGCACTTAAGGAATAGGAGATTGTTAGCACTAGAAGGCAATGACATGCAGACAGGGTGGCACATGATACTATGGAATGGGAAACACAAGGCACATCAGTATTTTCAGAAACACTATATTAGACAAGCACTATTAGATGTGTGGATTAAAATTAAAAAATCTAACTACAAGAAAATCCCCAATTGGATTTCGACATTGGAGATATTTCTGCACCCAACATTTATGAATTTAGGAATGGTNGTATCTAGAGAGCCATTACAATTGCTCATCTAAAACTTTTTAGCTCCTACATGTGTGTTTTTACAGGCACCTGATATGAGACCATTGTCAAAATGCAAATCATATCCATATGCTCAGGATGAGAACAATTATGAATTTCATTCTTTTGGGAATCTTTACATGGGATCTAGATGGAACCACTGTCAAAACAAACCTTTCTCCAAATATAAATTCTAGCAATCACAAATCTGTTTGTGTAGTGTGTGCTGCTTGAACTAGAATAAAGATATTAATATTGTACTGCTATTTCTTTTTCTTATCATTTATTGAGTTCTCTCAATAATTTGACATTTTACAGATTCATAGAAACTTTGTTAAGAAACTATCAGTGTGATGTGCCAGAACTGAACAATGATGAATAACAGTACTGAGATACTGCATTCCGCCTACCTTGCTGTAGAATACATTGACTCTTTGCTGCCTGAAAATCCACTACAGCAACCACTTAAAAATGCTTGGACCTATATGCTAAACAACTACACTAAATTCCAGATTGCAACTTGGGGTTCACTTCTCGCTCACGAACTTCTCTATTTTTTAATATGCTTACCCGGATTTGTATTTCAGTTTATACCTTATATTCAAAAATATAAAATACAACAGGTAAGATGAAATTTTAACGTTGTAAGAAGAGAGCCATGTTAATCTATAGTGTTAAAACATTAGGAGGAGTTTGGTAGCACTTTATATAGCTAAGACTTGTTATTAAAATGAATAAATGTTCATGATCTGCAATTTACTTCATCAGACTAATGTAGGATTTAAATTGGAGTGAGATAGTGGGAGTAAGGGCAATATCATTGATTAGGCAAATGCAGTTTATATGTAAAATAGATTCCTATTGTATTGGTTAGAATTTGTATTATGTTAAAAATACAGTGTTTGTTTAGACATTCTGAGATTGCTAAAACTTTTGAGAGGTATGTCTGTCTATCCATCCATCTGTGTTATTTTGGACCTGTCACTCTCTTTCAACCCGACCACCTCACAGGGTTGTGGGAAGAATAGGAGGAAGGAGTTTTAAGTATGTTTGTTGCCTTGAGCTTATAAAACATGGGATAAAAAATAAATTAAAAAAACATGTAAGTTCAGCAACGTCTCATTCATTGATGGAGTTAAAGTCCTGTTTTTCCAAAACTGGCACTTTGAGATATGCCATAGAATGTCCAAAAAGGTTGAAATCAAATATCATTTTTTTCTTATTTTGAGTGAAGAAAATTTGGTGTCAAATTTGGTATCCATTGATTCTTTTGTGCAAAGTTTGTCCCATTTGTCCTATGTAAAATTTAGAGGGGCATTCCTGGTAAATGATGGCATGAATAACATTAGAGAAAGACCACATGAAGGCACCTCCAGTCGTGTGGTGTATATTTCTTGTGGCCTGTGATGATGACGTTGAAGCAAAATAGATACATAAATTTATTGTAAGATTTGGTTCCATATTAGCATTTTTTGTTATTGTCTCTGTTATTTGGAGAATTTGTTTAGGTTGGATAATTGAGTAGCTGTATGCAAGAGTGGGCCTGCCATCCAAGTGCCTGAGATAATGTATCTTTGTCTAGTATGGGCTGTAGCTTACTAATAATGTGTTTCCTTAGTTTGAACTTTGAGATGTAAGTGACTAGGT